TGCCTCAGCCTCCTGAGTAGCTGGGATTACAGGTGCCTGCCACCACGCTTGGCTAATTTTTGTATTTTTAGTAGAGACGGGATTTCACCATGTTGGCCAGTCTGATCTAGAACTCCTGACTTCAGGTGATCCGCCCACCTCAGCCTGCCAAAGTGCTGGGATTACAGGCGTGAGCCACCGCGCCTGGCCAAAATGACCTCTTAAAAAAGTTAGGCTGGGTGCAGTGGGTCATGCCTGTAATCCAGCACTTTGGGAGGCTGAGGCAGGTGGATCACTTGACCCCATGACTAGCCTGGGCAACATGATGAAACTCCACAACTAAAAAATTAGCCAGGCCTGTTGGCATGTGTAATCCCAGCTACCCAGGAGGCTGAGGCGAGAGGATCGCTTAAGTCCAGGAGGTAGTGGTTGAGCAGATATCACGCCACTGCATTCCGGTGTGGGCGACAGAAGGAGACCCTGCCTGAAAAGAAAAAAAAAACAAACAAAAAACAGTGTGGTGCACCTGTGGTCCCAGCTGCCTGGGAGGCTGAGATGGGAGGATTGCTTGAGCCCAGGAGGTTGAGGCTACAGTAAGCTGTTATGGAGCCACTGCAATTCAGCCTGGTCAACAGAGCAAGACCCTGTTTCCTAGGCTGGAGTGCAGTGGCACATACCTGTAATCTCACCTGCTCTGGAGGCTGAGGTAGGACGATCACTTGGGCCCAGGAGTTTGAGATCAGTCTGGGCAACATAGCAAGACCCTGTGTCTTTAAAAAAAAAAAAAAAAAGATTGCTTAAAATATTTATGAAGATTTTATATAAGGCATTATTTGATCATTTTATTTTGCATTATATTTAAATGTGATAAGTTTGTATGTATGTTATACTGATGAAGAATACAGGCAAAAAAAAAAAAAAAAAAAGGCTAAAAAGGAGGCTAAACTCATCATTAACCTGAAATTTGCTTTTGATAATTACCTGATTTTATTTGCAGATTGCGTATTCTCTGGAGAATACTGTACAAAAAAACTTTATGGTATCAAGCACAATTAAATCGAAGAGTTCCTGAAGCTGATAGTCAGTTAACTGAAAAGATGACACATGAAGCATCTACTGTCAAGTCCCTGTTATGTCATTTGCAGGCTAACCTACAGAGTACTGGAGATTGCTTGAATCAAACCTTAGAACTTAAATCTATCAATGGTGAGTATTTTATGAATATTTTCTAACTCCATGAATAAATAACATAGTTAACCAGACTTTGAATTTCTAATTGGTTGTAATGATTTGTTTTTCAAAATAATTTCTGACTGAGTGCCATTGACTCAATTTTAAAACAAAGTAAATTTTTATGAAGTAATATAATTAACTATGACTAATCGTTGGTTAAAAACTTTCTAGGGGAAGAGTGTTTCTTATTAGGATCATATGAAAAATCTGTTCAGCTGTGGAAAAAAGCTCTACAAGAAATCGGAGAGAAAGGTAGGAGAGTGTTAAAAAATATGTGCCATAATATTAGCAGAACACGTTTTAGCTTGCTATAGACCTTAACAGTAATTCTGAATTCCAAAACATATGTGCAATTATATTAGCAGGACATCTTTTAGCTTGCCATAGACCTTAAAAATAATTCTAAATTTCAGAGTGCTTATGATATCCTAATGCCAAATAGAATACATGTTGTAGGCAACCTGACACTCATGAATACTTATTTGAAATTATTCTTAACCTTGGAATTGGTAACACTAAGAACCTTTTCAGTGATCTATAGGTAAGTCTCCTTCTGTCCTTTCTTTGATTTGTGGTAAAGCCTGTGGTTGATTGTTGATGGGAAAAATGAGATTTAGATCCTAAACAAAATAATGTGGGTCTTTTTTTTGTCAGTTACAGAGACTACAAGTATCTAAATGGGAAACTATAGGTCATATATTTCACCACCTACTTACCGACTTAGAGAAAGATAGAGTGAGGGCTTTTTGCCTTTAAGTAATTTAAGAATTGTGTGTCAGTTAAACATATCGTTGCATTAATTGTGGGCTTCATGGAGTTTTTGATAAGGATATGGAGTGTGGATGTTAGAAACTGGTTATAGCTTTTATGATATAGAGCTGAGGATATGGCTGAGATGACAGAGGTTCTCAGCTGGTGACCCTGGAACCCTGACTGCAACTCCTACATGGTCAGGTTTGGCCTATTATTATATTTATTTTCTGACTGCTGTGACTTTGTATGTTTCATTAATTCATCTACTTAACCAGTATTTGTTGAGTGCCTGCTATGTGCCCAGCACCGTATTAGGCACTAGGATAACTGAAATAAATTAACTTTACCCTCAAGTTGTCCACAGTCACTTTTCTCATTATGTTTTATGGTAGACATTTAGGGAGCACAGAAGAACACCTCAATACAATCAAGATGGAGTGCAAGCATCAGTCTGGGGAAAGCCTCTTGGAGTTGACATTTAAAATTGAGTAGATATTGGCCAATTAAGGTCATGGAGATGACATAGCAGAGGATATAGTATTCCAAAACCAGAAAGGCTTGAGAAACCCTGGCAATTTGTTAAACTTCAGGTAGTTTAGTAGGACTAGATTACGTGATATATGTATATGTGATATTGGTGAGAGGATCATAAGAGCTAAGTTGAGAGGCAGATGGACAACAGGTGATGAAGGAGGGTCTTTAATGGAGTGCTAAGGAATTAAGATTTTATCTTGAAGACAATGGAATCAGTTAAGACACTTTAGGTAGGAAAAGGACTTGTACAAATAAGGATAGGCCATTTAGAAAGATCACTTTGGTCAGTTGTGGAAGGTCATTTGCAGGACTATGATGTAGGGATGTGGGTTTTACTTGGAAGCAAGAAAATCAGTCAGGTGAGGAGGCTTGAAACCAAAGCAATGTCAAGGGTAATGGAGAACAGAGGTTACATTTGACAGTTATTTAATAGGCTTGATCAGTCTACTTGTGATTGAGTAGACTTGGAGAAAGAAGGCTAGTGTAGTTCTCTGACTTTGGGATTGTCCATCTGGATGAAGAAGAGCAGCATTCACTGAGATGTGAAATTCTGGATGAAGAAAAGTTTTTGTAATGAATTCCATTGTGGACATTTTGTTTAATTTCATTTACAGCTACATCCATTAGGAATGGCTTCTAGTAATGGAGATTAAAAGTAGCAGTGGCTTCAACAGAGAAAGAGTGGCTTTCCTTTGTGAAAGGAGGTCAGAAGTTGCAGTTTGGGGCTGATTTGGTGTTTCCATGGTATCACCAAGGCCCCAGGCTCCTTTAGTTTTTCTACTGTATCATCTTTAGTGCATTGCTTCCAATCTTAGGGCCATTACATAGGCTAAGATGGTTCCTGGACCTTCAGCTATCACATCCATATTCTAGGCAGCAAATAGGATAAAGGTTGGTAGAGCTAGAAAGGTTGCATTTCCTAGCTAATTTACCTTTAAGCACCTTTTCTGGAAATTGTATACAATATTATCTCTTGAATGAGAACATAGTCACATTTTTACATGGCCACATCTAGGGAGAAATTGTGATCTGGGCGCATTATATCCCCAAATAAAATTGGAATTATTTTACTCAAAAAGAATGGTAGGCAACCAGCAGTTTCAGTCTTCAGATATGTAAAGGCAGTTGTCAGGACTGCTCCTATCTTATTGGATAACTGTTTTTTCTGCTTCAGGTAGTCTCTTTGGCCATCCCTTTGATATACATATGGTTCCTTGGAGTTTTTGTGGCATGTTCCCTTCTGTTTCATACTGTGTATACTTGAGATAAAAGTTATTAGTAGACCTTAATGCTAAGATGATAAGAATTTGCAGCTTTCTTTGAGTAAAATCTAAGTCGTCCTAGGGTGTGATGAAAGAAAATAAATTGTTTAGAATTTAAAATGAAAAAGAGCAAAGTATGACTCACCTGTTAAAAAAATCATTTATTGAAGTGTGAAACAGATACAGAAAGGTTTACATATCATGAGTGTACAACTTGATGAATTTTCACAAACTACACACTCCTGTCAATTGAGCACTACACTAAGGGCATTCCTTTGCTTACATACTTTTAAGGTAAGCTTAATTCTTGTTTCAGGAGGAGGAAGGACATATTTTCTTCAGATACGCTATTATCTTTCCCTTTTATACTGCCACCTCTATAGCTATAATTTAAATGATGCTCAAGGATTGTGTGATCAGCTAGCAAGAGAAATCCTGAGATGGTCCCAACTACCTGTAAAAGAAAATAAAGATTTTTCAGGTATGTTTTTTTTTTTTTAAATTTTATTTTTAAAAAGAGACAGGGTTTCCTTATGTTGTCAGGCTGGCTTCAAACCCCTGAGCTCAAGTAATCCTCCCACCTCAGCTGCCTCAAGTGGCTAGGACTACAGAATTCATTATATTTACTCGTTAGTTTGTATTTATAGTGTAGACATGAAATTGCTTATACATAAAAGTTGGTTGTTCTACCTCTCTGGTGATTAAGTATATTGTGTTGGATTTTGGACTCTCAGTTTCCCAATAGCAGGGACTATGTTGAGGTTTTTTGTTTGTTTGTTTTTAAATCTTAGAATCCCCAGGATTTAGCAGTATAGTAATTGCCTGCTGAGCTGATAGTATAATTGCTTTCTTATAACCATATTTGTTAGACATAGTATTAGGTACCCAAGTGTTTTTCCTTAGTATGTTAACTGTTGCTTATAGCGGTTTAGTGAAATCATAAAAATCATTTTCCGAGATATTTTGAGTCTTCTAAAAAATCTGGGCTGAGCGCAGTGGCTCACCCCTGTAATCCCAGCACTTTGGGAGGCTGAGGCCGGTGGATCACGAGGTCAGGAGATTGAGACCATCCTGGCTAACAAGGTGAAACCCCGTCTCTACTAAAAATGCAAAAAAATTAGCTGGGCGTGGTGGCGGGCGCCTGTAGTCCCAGCTACTCGGGAGGCTGAGGCAGGAGAATGGCGTGAACCTGAAAAGTGGAGCTTGCAGTGAACTGAGATGGTGCCACTGCACTCCAGCCTGGGCAACAGAGCAAGACTCCATCTCAAAAACAAAAAAAATAAATAAAAAATCTGTTTACGAGATTGCAGAGTATCTGGATTGACTTTTTCAAAGAGGTGTATTTAAATCAGGCCATAACCAGAGAGAAAGATATATATGAATGAACATGTAATATATTTATAATGGTTATAGGGTGGTAGGCTGCTAGATGTATACTGTATATATGAATGTGTCTGAAAGGCCCAATGTATTCGAAATTTCTAAATAGAGTTGATACCGATTTCATTCTTGATTGTTTCAGCCACTGTTTAAAAATGTCTTATTTTGTGAGGTTTTTTTTTTGTTTTTTTTTTGTTTTTTTTGTTTTTTTTTTTGAGACATGGTCTTATTCTGTTGCCGAGGCTGGAGTGTGGTTGAGTGATCTTAGCTTACCTGACCTCTGCCGCCTGGGCTCAAGCCATCCTCCCACCTCAGCCTCGTGAGTAGCTGGGACTACAGGCATGTGCCACCACGCCTGGCTAATTTTGGTATTTTTTGTAGAGATGGGAATCTCACCCTGTTACTCAGGCTGATCTTGACTTCCTGGGCTCAAGCAATCTGCCCACCTTGGCCTCCCAAAGTGTTGGGATTATAGGTGTGAGCCACTGTGCTTGGCTTACTTTCTGATTTTTTTTTTTTTAAATTTTTGTGTTCATTAAGGAAGTAATACATGTTCATATTAGGCGATTTTGAAAATACGGAAAAGTAGAAAGGAAACAAAATCACTTATAAGTTTAGTTTTTTTGTCTAGGACCTTTTGATATATGTATATGTATATATTACCACAGCTGGATAATCTTATAAATTTAATATTATGATGAATATTTTCCAGTGCCAATAAACTTAAAAAAAATCTATTGAACCTTTTTCCCATTGTACATTTTGTTGCCATGTATTTACTATTTTAAATAATGCTGCAGTGTACCTAAATATTTGTAAGCATTACTAATAATTTCTTTCTTTCTTTTTTTTTTTTTTTTTAGA